GGGGGGGGGGGGGGGGAACCTGGGAACGTTGATTAAAATGTTCAAGTGTTAAAAATCATCTTCCAAGTCTTGTTCATACAATTTATATCCAAGTTATTTTTTTCTGACATTGGTAATCAAACACCCAAACCTGTCATACATTTTTCACAAACTACAAACATACAACACCAGACATCATTAATTGTTGTACAACATACATACAACACCAGACATCAATGTTATACAACAAACATACAACACCAGGCATCAGTGTTGTATAACAAACATACAACACCAGACATCAATGTTACAAACATACAACACCAGACATTAGTGTTGTACAACATACATACAACACCAGACATCAGTGTTGTACAACATACATACAACACCAGCCATCAATGTTGTACAACATACATACAACACCAGACATCACTATTGTACAACAAACATATAGCACCAGACATCAGTGTTGTACAACATACATACAACACCAGACATCAGAAATACAACACCAGCCATCAATGTTGTACAACAAACATACAATACCTGACATCAATGTTGTACAACAAACATACAACACCAGACATCAATGTTATACAACAAACAGACAACACCAGGCAGCAGTGTTGTATAACAAACATACAACACCGGCCATCATTGTTGTACAACATACATACAACACCAGACATCAATGTTATACAACAAACATACAACACCAGACATCAATGTTACAAACATACAACACCAGACATCAATGTTGTATAACAAACATACAACACCAGGCATCAATGTTACAAACATACAACACCGGACATCATTGTTGTACAACAAACATACAACACCCGACATCAATGTTGTACAACATACATACAACACCAGCCATCAATGTTGTACAACAAACATACAACACCTGGCATCAATGTTGTACAACAAACATACAACACCAGAAATAATGTTGTACAACAAACATATAGCACAGACACCAGTGTTGTGCAACATACATACAACACCTGACATCAATGTTGTACAACAAACATACAACACCAGAAATAATGTTGTACAACATACATACAACACCAGACATCAGAAATATAACACCAGCTGTCGATGTTGTACAACATACATACAACACCAGACATCAATGTTGTACAACATTCATACAACACCAGACATCAGTGTTGTACAACATACGTACAACACCAGACATCAGTGTTGTACACCAATTTCAAATATGCAATGTCGGCATTTCGTGTTGCAATTTTCCAGAAGTAGAGTAAATATAGAAGGTTTATTCTGGTAAAGAGAAAATTATTTAGTTAAATTTGTTTATTACATTTGTTTAATCTCCTAACATGATGAAGGAAATAAAATCTTGAAGTTTATTATCTTAACTGAAAATAAACGAACAAGATTGTCTAGTTTATGATGAAATTTAAGCCTAGATATCTAGCAACAGTAAATTTTCTGATGTTTAATCCTTTTTAAAGCTTAATACCTAATCCTCTATTGTCCTTTCAAGGGAGGCTAATTAAATATGTAATCTTCTTATGACTAGCTAGGGTACCCAATAACACTGTGTAGGGTTGTCACACACTATCAGGGACAGCTCCGTTTTAACAGGCGAGCTTCAAGCCACCAGGGACTTAACTTCTGCCTCCAAGACAGGCCCAATGACAATATAATTAACATTACTTTCTATTGTAGATGACAGCTCAAAATCATGTTAATTCACATCAGAAATGAACATCACATGAAAATAAAAAAAAAATGAAAATTTCCCATTTGTGCTTTTTAAATACTTCTTTTTTCTGGTGGTGATGTCTTCTCCATCTATCGACTAATAGATTTGTCTTTTAGATTTTAAAACAAATTCGGCATGTCCATCAAAATGCACATAATTGGGGTTATTAAAATGTAAATTGCCAATTAAAAATTAGTTTTTAATTTGGTGCTGGACTTTTGGGGGTTGTTTTGCACTCTTTAGAAAGTACAGTTCATGTACCGCTAGGAATTCAGTTGAACGCCATAAATTAATATAAAGTACATAGCGAAACCTGTTATATAAATCATTAAGATACAGGATTAATGTCAGCCAGGAAAAGGCAGCTTTTCTAGTCCTTTTTTATGAATTTAATTTTTTGAAAGTTAAACTTGAATGGTAATAATTCAAGATTGTATTATTGAATGAATATTTAACTTGCAAATTGTATAAGAACATTATGGCATAAATTTAGATGATAGAAGCACGGTTGAGTTGACTGATATTTAATGTTTCACATATTCTATTAAAAATCAGTTTAGGAAAATGGAATAATTATGAACCGGGTACCTTAAAAGAACAATCTTGATAAAACTTGAAGTATACCTGTATCACAACTAGGAAATGTGCAATGCACTGTAAGTTAGGTGGCATTCACGCCACGTCAATGTCAAAGGTCAAATAAGTGAAACATATTTACTGCAAAATTATGCCCAGAAAACAGTTGTTATCCATGAAACATCAAACTTAACTGTGTCTTCATCATCTACTGAAAGTGTGAAGTCAAGTGCACTGTCATTTGTAAGTGACTGTACATGTGATCTTGACCTCAAGGTCAAAGGTCAAATATGTGTAAAATTTCTTGTGAAATCTTGTCTGGGACATATAGCTTTTAATAAACTGATAAACTGTTGACATTTTTTTTACGAAACCTTAAGTACACCTGCCTCGCCAATAGAAGGTGTGTTATGTACTGTAATTAGGACACAGTGGTCAAATAAGTGTCTTTTTTATTGTTAAACATGAATTTGTGGAAATTTTATTTTCAAATTATATCTGGTACAATAAATCAAATACTGCTTGTAAGCTTTTAAGTCAAAATTATCTGTATCATTCATGTGTAAAAGCTAGGACTTCAGATTTGAGATATCAACTTCCTTAAGAAACATACAAAAACATTTTTGTCATCTTGAAAAACGTTTTACTTCTCTTACACAACAATAGGTTGAAAAATTGGATAAACAACTAACTATAGGTGAGTTGTGTGTTCTCGAGTACAGAGAATACAAACTGAGAATCTGTACGTTCAAGAATGGAAATATGATGTGAGTTGGTTCCTGAATCACGGCATCTAATCTGTGGCTTGTTTTCCGACGCTTTTGATGCTTCTTTGAAGTGGTGCCACCTTTCTTCCACAGACACGTTATACCTGTTATAGACGGTCGGTGCATGCCGAGTGACCTCTCGGCATCAATAACGTATTTATTTGCACAACATTCAGGTAATAAGTATGCTAATGGTCTTTAGATGAAGTCATCAAATTGGCCTTCTATATAAGACTGATGTTTCCATATTTGATAATGTTAATGGCTTTCTGTTTTCCCCTGTGTCCGTACATCTCAATGCGTATTGGCACAGGCGTAATGGTTTGGTGATGAAGAGATAATTTCTTCATGTTGGGCGTCCATTCAAACTCATTCGTCTGAAACTACAACCTGATGGTTTCACCAGTTACTAAGCAATTTTCTGCACATCTTTTTATTCACCCATTAACTTGTCCGCTGCATCAGAATCGAGAGTTGTCGGTCAGCCAGGTGGAAATAATGAGTCGACTCTCTATATACCTAAGCTCAGAACAGGTAACATTGCCCAAGCTTCAGCTGAAAAATCACTCATTCTCTCGTTATTTCCGCGTCCATGTATTTCACCAGTTGTCTTAACGTTTCTAGACTTTTAAACTGGCTAGGTTGGTGTAGAGTTTCGCTTCATTACCTGTGAATGAGGCGACACAGGCAGGCAAGCATTGGCCCTATTTGTGTGCGTATGGCTCACCGAACAGTGACACTGGATTGCAACCCTGTGACATCTGGTCATAGACATTATTGCCAATTTATCTCCTGCTGTTGTTGTCAAATTAGCCCAATTCTTACTTTCGCTTTCCACATATTTAACATGTCCATGTTATTACACGTTGTTAAATGAGACCAGTGGTGAAGAAATGTAACATCAAATGATTTTCTCTCTGCCTTTGTCAAATTAGCTTCGGTAACGTTTCCTTCTCATTTCTGATATTTTTAAGTTCAATTGACTCTATTCAAATAAATAGTTACTCTAAATTTGAATAAAAAGACATCAAACCAAAAGAAAAAAATTAAATATCAAAATTGAATATATTCACATGCTACAAGGAACAACAGAAAATAACACAAACGACAAAAACACACCACCAGACAACATGTTTAGTACCATCAGCCAGTGTTATTTAAATGATATGATAGCGTTTTAACATATTTTAATTTTCAAAAAAAAAATCCATTTGATTCCTCCTGCTATGTCTATTTCCAGTATAGCCCTGATACTAGGTAGGTACGGTACATGCAATATTTACAAAACAGCTTTAAAATTCCACAAACGGATTGCCTTAATGCTATTACTAACACTCCCAACAAGTTACTTACACAGCTAAGAAGCTGATTTTACCTACAAAACATCCTCATTAAATATTCGAAATACTCCTATATAATGGCTTAACTTTACTACGAAGCCGTCCAACTTGGATATTCAACGTGAGAGCACATTGCTGACTGGGGTCTACAAACATTTTAGGATATATGACCATACCTGTCACAGAATATACAGGTAAAATCCAGGTGTCTGCTGTCTGTGGTAGGTAATTAGACAAGCTGGTAAAACCAGGTGAGAACTAACTTGTAGATGAATCAAATTGTTTAAATTAATTGTTTTCAAATTTTTTTGACATCTTTTATGTAATTGCTTGAATTTTATCGTTTCTGAAACTGCAAATTTATTTTATGCGTCCATTTCATGAATGTGTTTCATGTCCTTTTTTCTTTTTCTTTTTTTCTGGTGGTTCAGACATCAAGAGAGATGTCTTTGGAACCAGTCACCCAGTAAATCATTGTGTCATCATGTTTGTGATAAAACCTGAACATTGTCATCTTTTGTTAACAGGATTGAGGATGAGGAGAAGTTGGACCAGGTGGTGTCCGAGGGAAAATTTCTGCACCAACAGGATAAGCAGTGCTGTGTCCAGTAGAAAGGAACCACCTTAACAAGCCTTGCTGTGTCCAGTAAACTAGCACCATCCTGACAAGATGTGGGATTATTCCAGACTTTAGATTGTGGAGCCATCCGAATGTGGAATTTCCTTTACAGGCTGGAATTACTTCTAATGTGGCACCCATAAACAGGAAAGGAGGCAAAGTGTGGCCCCACCTTCATATAGGAAGGAAGGCAAAGTGTGGCCCCACCTTAATAGAAAGGAAGGCAAAATGTGGCACAACCTTAAAAGAAAGGAAGGCGGTGCTGATCATGAATGTGGCACCATATATATGAAGAGGCAGTTGATTAAAGTTAATCAGAAATGTGGGGCTACAACAGAGGTGGATAGATCAGTTTAACAGGAAGTTGGGCTATGGAAAATTCAGAATGTGGAACCTCCTCAACAGGAAGTTGGGCTATGGTAAATTCAGAATGTGAAATCTCCTGAACAGGAAGTTGGGCTACATTAAATTCAGAAGTGGGAAAATGCTGTCTCAGAATGTGGCACCATCTAAACAGGAAGTTGGGCTGTGCGTAATTGAGAATGTGCAACCGCCTCAACAGGAAGCACAAGGACGATACTCTATCAGAATGTGGCACCACCCGAACAGGAAGTTGGGCTATGCTTGATTTTAGTATGTGACAACTTACTTGGAAGCAGTGTTAACAAGTGGACTAATGCCGAAAACAGGAATTTAAAGACAGAAATGTGGAAAATGTAAAAGGATAGAAACAATAAATCAAAAATAGGAGGGAAATGTGGCAAAGAGATGTGGATAAGAGCCATTGCTGAAGCTGTACAGGATACAGGACATAAAATCACACAAAATCCCAATTGGACATTTCCATCATGCTGTTGGTTCTGTATACATACTTTCAAAATAACTGTATCCTCTGTCATGATACAGCAAAAAAAAAAAGCAAATATATACTACAAATAAAAAAAAAAAATCTTACAAATACTGTCGGGGTAAAACAAATAAGAGACATCAACGGTTTAAGTTGGGATATAAAAGTAAAAGTTGGTTTAGCCTGAAATGTTCAGTGCATCTGTGGCTAAAACCATTAAATTATAATTTGTTCAAGAAAAATAGCATTAAAAACTACATGAAGAATGAGTGAAAAATGTCCAATGGTAACTTTAATGAAGGTAACTAGAAAATAATGTGCCCTCAGTATTCTGTGTTGTGATCCCTATTTTTTCAGTTAATCCATGTGCTTATCTCCCCTTAATTGTCTCCCCTGGCAAGTAGTCCGCATGATGACATTTGAACTATTTATGAGGCAAATGTCAAAAAAAGGCTAAAATTAAGGTAATGTTTCAGAAATTAATTTTAAAAAATGTCTGAAGGACAAAGCAAAATATATTTTTGGAGCTAGATGATATCAGAACACTCTTGAATTAATTTTCAATCAGAAGCACAGATATTGAAGACTTTAATTCTGTGACGATCGATGAACTACACAAGTACAGCCTTGTGTGATTGATTATTTAACTTTTAAACCACTGGAAAACAAAACTCTGACATTCTGTCTATAAGACCAGGTCTATTCTGTTCACTTGACTCATGATCATTCACCCCTGGAGTTTCATAATGAACTATTCTAACCTTTGAAATGGAAGGGTTCAAATGTGTCTTTTCAGGGGTAAATGAGTTAATGAGTAAAAAAAATTATTATAACATTATAAAGTTATTTGGTTTCTTTTTCTCTTGCTGTGCCAACCCTGCCTGAAGTTTTAAAATAAATTTTGAGCAGGTAAAGCAGAGTTTTTTGGTGGTTTTTTTTTACCTTTTCTGGAGTTACTAAGAAAAGAAAACATGTTGTTTAGAAACATGTTTTATTTTCATGTGGCCTAAAGTAAAATAAAACCATTTATTAAATACCGGTTTCCGATGGTTGATATGTTATAGAAAACAATCATGACGTTATGCAACCATATGAAATGTAATGCCATGTTTTTAAACATTCAAATAATCATTATTTCCAAAGTTAAATACTTTTATAAGTTGATCCAGGCTTATAGTTCTAGCTAAAGTGTTTGTTTGAACCAGCATGGTCTATCTACCTGAGTGTGGGGGTGTTGTGTTTCATTGGTAAAGGTATATTCCTAGGCGTGTAGAAATTACATGTAGAAGTCACCTGATGATCTGGAGATTTAAAAAGAAAAAAATGCTTTCCTGGGTGATTGTATTCGAGATCGTAAATCCATCTTTCCGTTTCACTTTCATTTGACTTGATTATAGCGAGCTGAGCTCTGCTAGCTCAATAAAAAAAATGAGGGTTAAAATTTCAATTTGTGATATTGAATAATTATGAAAACTAGAATATACTTTTCCTTGATTTAAGAAGTATCACCCTTAGACTATATACTCAAAATTACCTGTGTTTACACAAAGTTTTCAAAACATTTTCATTTTCATATGTAAATTTACTGTTATTATTCGTGTATTGTGCACACTCCTGTATAATACACAGGTGCTTTTTGGGGAGATTTATTTTAATAATTGAGATGACGGTATGGATCTTCCCAATTAACTGTAAAATGAAAGCATTGTACCCTACGAACTTGCCTAAAGGGGATCCAGAATAGATATATGTGTTACGATTTTAGAGCAAATATGGTATGCAGAGTGTTTTAAAATCTGCTTTAAATGTGTTATTAAGGATATATCAGTATTATTTTCATTTTGTTTGTAGTACCAGTACCTATTTTCCATTGTAGAATAGAAAAAATTGTAGAATTTCTAAAATGAAAACACACTTAAAGTATTAATGAATAGTATATTTGCTTATTATTAATTGATTTTAGTAGAATTAGACGTTTTGAACGCTATTCCCTTTTTTTTTATCATTTACAAGAAATTGTATCTTTGTAAAAATAATCCTTTGCTTATTTTTATTCACAGAAAAAAGATCAATCTAAATCGTGGTACAGTAGATAATTTGCAACTTGGATTTTGCTTCATTGCAACTATTTAGAAATTTGGCATCTTTTGAAAAGTAAAGGTTGTGAACTATCATTCCAAATTGTTATTGTTTCAGAAATATATTTTGTCAAAGTTTCAATAAGAATTTCTCATGACTTTACATTGATATGAGATTTTGTTACTATGTATTTAAGGTAGCCTATCCCATCTGTTTGTTATGCTGTTTGGAGACTTAATTTAAACATGTAAATTTAATTGTTATGATGTATGTATACGGTTTGTATACACAGTGTACAAAGGTGGAACCTATAAATTTGATTTGCTCGGGTGTATTAACATGAATTACTCAAAATCTAAATAATTTTGTGCGTATACTTTATTTTGCGAAATCTCATGCCTGTACATTTTTCTCAAAAATGCTTGAATTTGCTGTTGGGATGATGCTATTTCAGTATTGATGGTATTTATCTCTTGAGATTATATTTGTCAACCGTTTAAATTTGCAATGGTGTCTGGTTGGGCGATTGATAAAACCTGCCTATCAATTAAGTTGTTAGATTGTGCTACACTGTAATACAAGATGCTCGGCCTTTAATCAATTAGATTGACAATATATTTGAGGGGGACACACTAAGCTATCAGTTATATATGTTGCAATGTATTCACCCCTGACATTTTGTAATGAACTATTCCAACCTTTGAATTGGAGGAGTTCAAATGTGTCTTTAGAGGTGAATGAGTTAAACTGCCACCATAACGTAACATTGGCACTGTAAAGGGATTTGGTGATATATAGAGACAAATAAAAACTGGCTGTAAGCGAGGTTGCAAATTAAAGGAGGGGCATTATATTAAGGTTTTACCGTATATAAGGGCGCATCAATTACCATTATATGATCATGTGTGTTTAGTAAGCGTTATAAAAAATATGATGTAATTCAAGAAAATCTCAGTACAAATGCCTGCAGAGATCTGTACGCTTTGTAACTAGTGAGGAAAACTGGTGTTGAGAATTTAAGTCTTGAATGTTTGGCTAAATACCAATTCGTGTTCAAGATATATGATTTGTAAGTGTGTTGCTTTAAAATTGTTGCTGTATACAGCCTATCTGGATAGCCAACCTGATGGTGATCCCTGTGTCGTTTTAACCAAATCATCTGTGATACTATGTAAAAAAACATTGTGTACCTGTTTCAACTCATGTTTTGAAGAAATGTTAATCACAACAGTGAACTAACTAACAAATACTGCACCTATTTGTATGTAGATTGAACATCAATGAACCACATTATGACTACATGTTGAATAAATTAATATTGCCGTACAACAATGACTGTTATTGAATATCAGTTATAAACACTGTCTGTTATTGAATATCAGTTATAATCACTGTCTGTTATTGAATATCAGTTATAAACATTGTCTGTTATTGAATATCAGTCACCACAGGGTAACATACACATATTTAGACATCCGTCTTACTACGGTATATAAATTGTTTACAATATGACCTTGACTATGTACTATGTAAGTTGAATATCAGTAAAACATTTGAAGAAGTAACTTTGTATTGTAGTTGAACCTATAGATGTACATGCATTCAGCTTTATATGTATGTGTGGCAGATGTACATGCATTTAGCTTTATATGTATGTGTGGCAGATGTACATGCATTCAGCTTTATATGTATGTGTGGCTGATTTTAATTTTACATAGAATTATGGCTGCCTTCTAGCTTCGAGCTAGAGGGAATTTCACTTAAGCTCAGTGGTAGAGCGTCCCACTTGGAACCTGGAGATCGTGGGTTCGATCCCCGTCGGAAGCACACTATTCTCTTTCCTGTTACGTACATGTTAACCTGATGTGGCTGCCAACCTCCTTATAAAGAAGGCGTTTTTTATTGTTTATCATTCATATTATTAATACGGTAGATTTCTTCGGCAACATAATTTATTATATGAAAAGAGTTTTTGTTGTAGAAAAATATCACGTTCTGTAAAGTCAGAAATCCAAGATATGTGATAACGTTAATCTGTATGTAAATTGACCTGAAGTACACATCGTGTTGTAATCGGTACTGAAATGACAAAAAGGTCAGGTACTCTGTTTGTTGTTATATCACTACTATTTCGTGAAAAATGATGACAACTCCTGCCTACACAAAGTGTGATGCATGTCGGATGTGTTTATGATCAGGTGCTAGGGCGATGTTGGGTATATACATGAGTCAGGTGAGAAGGCATGCTTCTGACCGGGTGGTAGGTGTATTTTCAGGTAAATGTCATCCTTTGTTCATCTCTTTATCTGTCATATCCTTGCAATGGACCTGAAAAATTCAAATCTGTGGTTTCCTTTTATTTTGTCTGACATTGTTTTTTTGCTTGAAATTTGTACACTAATTAAAGTACTAATAAGAGTACTTTTTGTATAGCAAAAACAATTCTTTAAACAAACGTACAACATAAAATGAATGAAAAGCTTTGTTTTTAAATCTTGAAGGAAAAAAAAGTCAAAAGTTTTGTTCAGTTTCACTTGTATCTACAAGTTAACCCGTCACACTTACTGACCTCCACAGATCCGAATGTTGCTACTGTGCAAACATTCACAGAGAAAAGTGTGAAACTTGGGATTTGTTTTTCATTTATTTATATAGAAAATAAGGTTACAAATCCTATGATTTTAAGAGATATTACTAAAATTGCTGTCTCAGATATATTATATGGTGTTTTTTTATTGTATTTATAAAGTAGTAAGCTATTATAAAACACCAGTTTTCTGATAATCTTAAGGAGGTATGCTATCTTACTGTGGAATAAAGACTTAAGGCTGTATGCTTCCTTACCGTGACACGAAGACTTAAGGCTGAAAGACTTAAGGCTGTATGCAACTTTACTGAGACACAGAGATTTAAGGATGTATGCTACCTTACTATGACATGAAGACTTAAGGCTGTATGCTACTTTACTGTGACATGGAGACTTAAGGGTGTATGTTACCTTACTTTGACNCTTACTATGACATGAAGACTTAAGGCTGTATGCAACTTTACTGAGACACAGAGATTTAAGGATGTATCCTACTTTACTGTGACATGGAGACTTAAGGCTGTATGCTATTTCAATATAAGATGGAGACGTAAGGCTGTATGCTACCTTACTGCGACATGGAGACTTAAGGCTGTATGCTACCTTACTGTGACATGGAGACTTAAGGCTGTATGCTATTTCACTATAAGATGGAGACGTAAGGCTGTATGCTACCTTACTGCGACATGGAGACTTAAGGCTGTATGCTACCTTACTGTGACATGGAGACTTAAGGCTGTATGCTACCTTACTGTGACATGGAGACTTAAGGCTGTATGCCACCTTACTGTGACATGAAGACTTAAGGCGGTATGCTACTTCACTATAAGATGGAGACTTAAGGCTGTATGCTACCTTACTGTGACATGAAGACTTAAGGCTGTATGCTACCTTACTGTGACATAATGACTTAATACTGTATGCAATCTTTATGTGACATGTATATCCTTAACAAAAAGAGTTAAACACTAAATCACCAAGAATTTATTTTAACTAATACATCAAAAACAAATGTAAAAGATGCACATATTATTTTATCGACACACGTGTAAGACAGATATACCAATACAGTATGCAGCGTTTTACGTATTTATAAATATTAAGGGATTTTTTTAAGGTACCATACAGCCTTAAGTGATAGTTGAAATATACCACAGGTATTTAAGATTGCTTGATACAAGAGCTTGTATTTGATAACATTAAAAGGTGCCATAATTTCCAGTTGTTCACATGATCTAGTGAATGAAGGACCATCATAAACCTGAACCATGTGCAATATAACCTGTGTAAACGGAACCCTCTATAATTCATCAAACTGTCTAAACAGTACACTTTCTAGTCTGTAAACCTATCTTAACAGTACACTATAGTATGTAAACCTGTCTAAACAATATACTGTATAGTATGTAAACCTGTCTAAACAATATACTGTATAGTCTGTAAACCTGTCTTAACAGTACACTATAGTCTGTAAACCTGTCTGTAAACCTGTCTAAATGGTATACTGTGTCTTAACAGTCCACTGTATAATCTGTAAACCTGTCTAAACAGAACCCTCTGTCACCTGTTAACCTGTCTAAGCTGAGGACTGTAGACTCTACTCAAGTTGATAGTCTGTAAGGTTACTAATATATTACCTTTTATGTTGATTAATGCTCTTCCATCAAGTTGGACAAATCTGAAATCTGACAGTGTATCAATTTCAGTCTAATTTTCTCTTATTTTTTCTTAAAAGTTTTCATTGTTATAAGCATATCAGGATAATCAGAGAAGCAAATTGTGTTCTGCTGAAAGAAAACAAAATTTGGAAAAGAAAATTAGATTTTTTACTTGTGAAGATCATTAATTTCAAATATATATAGGTTAGGAAATGCAGAAGTATGTATGTATTTTGATATGTATTATATTGTACTCACATGGAGACTGTGTAGAAAGTTTGTCTACTGAGCTTTATGCAGAGACAGATATGGATTTGGTACATATGTGTGTATAAAGGAACACATGTGTTACAAAACTTCAGATGTATGTGTCACATGAACTGGAACTTGGGTAATCCAGACTCCGGGAAACTCCCTCAATGGAACCTCTGTAATCTGGACTCTCTGGGAAACTCCCTTAATGGAACCTAGCTAACAGTAATCTGGACTCTCTGGGAAACTCACTCAATGGAACCCCTGTAATCTGCACTCTCTGGGAATCTACCTCAATTGAACCTTGGTAGTCTGGACTCTCTTGGACACTCCTTCAATGAAACCTTGGTAATCTGGGCTCTCTGGGAAACTCCCTCAATGGAACTTTGGTAATCTGGACTCTCTTGGAAACTCCCTCAATGAAACCTCTGTAATCTGGACTCTGGGGAAACTCCCTCAATGGAACCTCTGTAATCTGGACTCTCTAGGAAACTCCCTCAATGGAACCTGACAGTAATCTGGACTTTCTGGCAAACTCCCTCAAATAAACCTCTGTAATCTGGACTCTCTGGGAAAACTCCCTCAAAGGAACCTCTGTAATCTGGACTCTCTGGGAAACTCCCTCAATTGAACCTGACAGTAATCTTGACTCTCTGGGAAACTCCCTCAATGGAACCTTGGTAATCTGGACTCTCTGGGAAACTCCATCAATGGAACCTTGGAAATCTGGATGCTCTGGGAAACTCCCTCAATGGAACCTTAATGATCTGGACTTTCTAGAAATCAACAGTTGTATTGAAGAAATTAATTTTGATACATGAACATGAAAAAAAATAATCATGAATCTTCAGAAAAATACTGAAGACTGCTAGGTACTCTTGTTTGCTGTATGTACTGGAGGACTGCTAGGTACTCTTGTTGGCTGTATGTACTGGAGGACTGCTAGGTACTCCTATTAGCTGTATGTACTGGAGGACTGCTAGGTACTCTTGTTAGCTGTATTTACTGGATGACTGCTGGGTACTCTTGTTAGCTGTATGTACTGGAGGACTGCTAGGTACTCTTGTAGGCTGTATGTACTGGAGAACTGCTATGTGCTCCTGTTTGCTGTGTGTGTACTGGAGGACTGCTGGGTACTCCTGTTAGCTGTATGTACTGGAGGACTGCTAGGTACTCCTGTTAGCTGTATGTGTACTGGAGGACTGCTGGGTACTCCTGTTAGCTGTATGTACTGGAGGACCGCTAGGTACTCCTATTAGTTGTATGTACTGGAGGACTGATAGGTACTCTTGTTGGCTGTGTGTACTGGAGGACTGCTAGGAACTCCTGTCAGCTGTATGTACTGGAGGACCGCTAGGTACTCTTGTTGGCCGTCTGTAATGGAGGACTGATAGGTACTCTTGTTGGCTGTGTGTACTGGAGGACTGCTGGGGACTCCTGTTAGCTGTATGTGTACTGGAGGACTGCTGGGTACTCCTATTAGCTGTATGTACTGGAGGGGTGCTAGGTACGCATGTTAGCTGTATGTACTGGATGACTGCTAGGTACTCCTGTTGGCTGTATGTACTGGAGCACTGCTAGGTACTCCTGTTAGCTGCATGTGTACTGGAGGACTGCTGGGGACTCCTGTTAGCTGTATGTGTACTGGAGGACTGCTGGGTACTCTTGTTAGCTGTATTTACTGGATGACTGCTGGGTACTCTTGTTAGCTGTATTTACTGGAGGACTGCTGGGTACTCGTGTTAGCTGTATGTACTGGATGACTGCTAGGTACTCTTGTTTGCTGTATGTACTGGAGGACTACTAGGTACTCTTGTTGGCTGGATGTACTGGAGGACTGCTATGTACTCCTGTTAGCTGTATATGTACTGGAGGACTGCTTGGTACTCCTGTTAGCTGTATGGACTTGAATGTTTTGCTGAGCTAGATTTGTGATGTAGTATCAGGTCTTTAACCCTAATATGGACTCTGGGGAAACTCCCTCAATGGAACCTTAATGATCTGGACTTTCTAGAAATCAACAGTTGTATTGAAGAAATTAATTTTGATACATGAACATGAAAAAAAAAATCATGAATCTTCAGAAAATTACTGAAGACTGCTAGGTACTCTTGTTGGCCGTCTGTAATGGAGGACTGATAGGTACTCTTGTTGGCTGGATGTACTGGAGGACTGCTAGGGACTCATGTTAGCTGTATGTGTACTGGAGGACTGCTGGGTACTCGTGTTAGCTGTATGTACTGGTGGACTGCTAGGTACTCTTGTTAGCTGTATGTACTTGAATGTTTTGCTGAGCTAGATTTGTGATGTAGTATCAGGTCTTTAACAGTGCCTATATTTAACAACCTAAACAGCGTTGGATGCTTCCTGTCTCTCCGTAAATCGTGGAGATTTTGCTCAATGTGAAAAGCCGGTAGGATCGTGATAGTCCGATAATGCTGTGTTACACATATAGCTTACAATTGTGCTTTACATGTTGGAGTGATGTCCAGATGGTTCTTTGTTGCTTGTCATACTCTTGTATTTTTACGTTTTATATTATTTTACCTTAGTTCACAATTCACATACATGTTTATATGTCATTGCCATGTACATGTATAACATATATTTGTGATTTTAAAGAAATTTTGTAAAAAGTTAAACAGCGTTTTGGTTTCTGGATTGCAGTGACCAGGAAGCGTAAATTAAACATCGTTTTATTTTTTGCCTTACAGCATCATATACCATTGAATTCATGTTCTCGATATCACATGATTTGATAAAAAAGTTTTGTACTCTGAGTTGAAACAATGGAAGATGTATCGGGTATTTCATTAAATTTTGTAAATCCATGAAATGTTCAAACTCATTTTTTTTTAGCCATTAGAATGTCTTTAAGTAATTTATTGACATTTTCTTGACCTGTTTACATTTATATCCATTGATTTTTTCCACAGTTGATGGCGGATTAGCCTACATAAGTCATATAAGCTGGTGGAGACTGAACCCGTATTAAGATTTGGGGTCAGTCACTTTTTACACATCATAAAAAGTCACTGTGCTTATTTATCTTTATTGCACTCTCATTTACAATTATTGTACTGACGAACATCAGCAACTTGTGTACATTGTATTACTTTCGACTAGATCATCCAATCACCTCCTCGTTACCAAGGTCATTCTCCACGTTACCAAGGTCACTGTATCAGTGAGGATACTATAGTTCATTTACCTTCAGGTAACTACAGTTACTCGTGTAAAATTGTTTTACTATTCTCATTCAACTGCAACCACTAGCTGTTCCTCCTTAATATTCTTTTTACAAGATGTATGATTTTGACATCAAATGTCTTGAAAATGGTACTTTTTTAATTTGCAGTTTTGGAAATGATGTCCACTGTATTGTGTCATTTGTATGTCCAATTATTTGTTTGATAATCTTACTCGCTCAAATGCTCATGTTTATACGGTCTCAATAAGATTTAAAGTTTACAGAAATATTTTCAACTTTCAAAATATCCGTTATTGTGATAGTCATCTAAATTAAAGCGCCTAATATCAGTGACTAACATTCAACTGGTTCAGGTCACAGAATTTAGGTGACTGAACTAAATAACTCTATTAAAGCAGCAGAAATAATACGCTTAATTCATGAAACTGAAATAATTCACTTACCCTGGTAATTCAAGCAACTGAAATAAGTCATTTCAAATTCACTCAAAAGAAGGTATGCATCAGTTGAAATTATGAAAAGTCGGGGGTGGGCTTATTACCAGGCATGGGCTTATTACCGGTAAAGTACGGTACATGTATTAACATTTTAACAACTCCTACTCTTAACCAGAATATTTACTTGTCCTCTGGTGTCTAGAGTGATGTTGAATCTGAAAAACTTACATAATTCATTTTATTTTGTTAACTGTTTTTCACAAGAAATGTGTGTATTTTGTTAAGTTATCAAGTCCTCCTACCTGTTCTTTGTTTTTGTAACAAGCAAGAAATAAGATTTTGTTTAAGAGTCAATATAAAACAATTGAGAAGTTTCATTTAAAGCTGTCTGATGTCACTTGAAATGTTGTAGGGTTTTTTTCATTTTTTTTTTTCATGATAACATGTTTATGATATCTTATCATGTTTTCTATGTTGGTGCTTTTAATTTGTATAACCCATAGATCATAAAATCATGACAGATATACATTGTTTACTTTCTCAAGAACTTATATCATACCTACCTGACCTGTTCTGTATTTACCTGTTCAGGTAAGTTATGTACAGGTGTATGTTAACAGGTGTTCTTTGATTACAGGTAGGTGTAATAACATCACATCTGTAAATATTTATAATGTTTATTCAGTAATGTTTTATTAAAGATATTATTTCTTGGATGTACAGCAGAATTGTTGTTTGTTTGTGTGGAATACATCTCAATTCATATCATATCAGTTATTGAAATATTTATTTTCATAATGCACCAAGTTCTTTCAGTTGGACTGGTATTTCATTTACAACATTTTGATATTCGATTTGAAAATTTTCCTTAAAAGTGAATTTGTTTGTACAAGGCCATTTATCATTGACCTTTATAAAAAAATATATGTAATGTTAGATTTTTGTAATATCAGAACATTTCCCAAACAGAACTCCCGTCAATCTTTAGGCTTATCAGGTACATCTTCACATTTTTGTATCTAGGTTGATTGTATAAAAAAAAAATCAGGTATTGTACTGTATTCATTGATCAGCTTATTTACCATAGACATACTCGTGATTAAAATATGTTTTCTTCAGTGAAGAGAAACCAATGGACCAGTCTTGGTCATTGTGTATGAATAGTGCCATGTTGTGCTGCAGGTTTTGCACCAGAAAACAATATAGTATTATGATAAAATAAAAAAAAACATTTGACTAATTGTGAGTTTTATATTTAACCCTGTATTTGTAGGCGATATACAACAGAGATAAATACAATTCCTGCTGTATAGGCGAGTGTTCTTACTAAAACGTGTGTAGGTTAAGGGTATATGATACTAGTACCTTACTGTGACTAAATCTATCTTCTTCGCAAAAGAGTTCCACAGTAAGGTACCTGTAAAATGTGCTTTCTTTTAACTCATTCACCACTGAAGAAACATTTGAACTCTTCCATTCAAAGGTTGGAATTGTTCATTATGTAATTCAGGGGTGAACGAGTTAAGGAAAATATTCAAAATGTAAGTTTTGTTAGATACAATAGGGCCAGGGTTGAGAGCTTACCTGGGTCACATTGAAGTCTGCTTGCTAGTTGTATATAGTGCTTTAATGTTGCAGTCAATTTTTTCAAAGTTTTGTTCTTTAAAATAAAATAAATAGTTTGTAAATTCCTTACAACACCATTATAAGTGAATAGTACTATCTAACTCTCAAGCAGTCAGACAACAGATCACTAGGTTTTTATTGTGAAAATCTGTTTAAAGCTTTGAAATATAAGTCTATTTGTTTCACCAATTCAGCAGATATGGAGTTATTTGAATTTTGATTACTGGAGTCAAAGGTCAAGCTTATATCTCAATACTATAATGTGTATTTGTGTCTGTAACTGTCAATCATGCAACATTAAAAATGAAATAGTTCTGTTGTTGTGGAGTTGTTTTTAGCTCTGTTGTTCAATTAAAGGGAACAGGAAGACAAATCTGCAAATATATAAGTTGAAAACACTTCCAGATGGAGTATCTCACTGTATCTCGATTTCCAACCTTTGGTCTAAAAGATACCAATGGAAGCAAACTGTTACCATTAAGTATATCAAATAATCTCGCTCCTTAAACGGGCAATCATCAAAGGGCCGCGGTGACCAAGTGGTAAGGCCTCTGTGATGACATTCTGCTACCAGGAGCCCTCCACCACTGGGTCGCCTGTTCGAGACCTACGTGGGACAGTCGCCTGCCTTGTACTGCCGTAGGTCGGTGATTTTTCTCCTTGAACTCTGGCTTTCCTTCACCACCAAAACATTTAAAAAACATTTAAAATCGCCGCAATGACCGCCATCTTGTAAATGACAAACAAATAATCGTGCAATGACCCTAGGCTTTACAACAACTGTTACTGCGTCCTGCTCTCATTAATGATAAAGACAATGGCTGTCCAGTACTAATTTTATGTGCGAGTTCCTGTATACAATAGGGTCTTTACCAGTGTATCGAGTTTGTTTAGGGATTGTTCGTCTTCGTAACAGGTTTAAAATAAAGACGATTTATATAGACATAATCTGCTGTACACTGGCTTCTGTAAACTGTCGGACAGTGAACTTTATTGGGACGAACAGCTGTGATCAAACGACGGCGGTGTCCACTGATGATGACGTCACTTTAACGTACCAGCAATCTCGATCTCTTCTTGTCCCAAATGAAATATGTCCGATTCCGCGAAGGGTCCTACATGAGTTGCCTCATTCGATGATGCAGTGGGTTACAACCGTTTAATTCATTTCTTATCGCTCCGAACCGGCAAGATCTTTTTATCTTCACTAGTGTATGGGATATGTGTTGATGGGTGTTATATGTGAAGTTGGCCGCACAAATATACAAAAAGGTCCTCATGACCGTCGTTTTAAAATTGTGTCTATCGTTACTCATCTTAACGGAATCTATATATTTGGTATAAACTTTTAAGATGAATTTTTAAAACATGTAAAATCGCCGCAATGACCACCATCTTGTAAATGTTACAATGTTATACCTACCCTTCATGAATGGAAAGGCTAAAACAAATAGTCACTGGTAATTAGGACGTACCCTTTTAAATTCTGCGACCGTACTAAGTGATTTGTGTATATGAACATTATTACTTACAATTTTAATATATAAATTAGCATGCGTTTGTCAACATGCTTTTACTTATAAAAAAATGGAAGAAATACTAGTAGACTTTTGTGAGTTTGCTTGTTTTTTTCGCCAATACAACATTGACGATATATGCTTATGTAAATTTAGATAATATCTTCATGCACATTTGATAACCCGACCCGACACAGCGTGATTAACATCACGTTATCTGCACACGAAAATGACCTTTACAACACTGTCGCAACATTCGTCGAGTTTCATTTATGAAACATCACGTTCGCTAAAATCGTCCAACGCATTAAAATCGTTATTTTTGATAGAAATGTTCACACAACACGTGACGGTATGACAGAGAAACCTGAACCCGAGGGGTGATTTGCTTGATTGTTTAACCCGAGGCTTAAAATATAAACTTTTTTTATTTAACAAGAATTATGAAAAAAAGTTATTTCAACGTATATTAATCACTCTTGTTAGCCCGGATGTTAGCGAGTGGGAGGAAACCGGAGTACCCGGAGAAAACCCACGTGACTTAGGTACTTCCATTCAAGAATCTCACCCAAGAGTTGATCTTTCACTAGCATTCCCTCACCATAGGATATGATATAGTATCTCCGTCTTTCCGATACTAGTATGTTTGAAAACAATATCTTTCCAGCGTTTGTAATCTGTTATTTACCCTGATTTGCAGCCAACCTCTCCCGTCGATAGCTGATTGAGACGTTATATTTTATGTTTCCCGTGACGTCATAGAATTGTTTCCTTTCACGTGATATCTACCATACCAAAGTGAATGATAGAGAAATCATACCGTAGGGGACGACAGAAAAATCATGAACAAGTAGAACGGGAAACACTTTTGTGAATGGTGAGAGAAAAGATGAGGATTCTAAATGATGCGCTAGGGGCAGCAGATTATTTCCCCGTCTCTCCGGTATTACTAAAGATGACTGAATTTTCGCGAGATAGCTACACTCGCGAAGATAAACGTAAAACATGTATCGCTAAATCAAGTATCCCCTCTTTACATAACTAAGACTGTCGGAATAAGTGAACTACAAATCAATGTCCTCGCCATAAACTACAGAATGTGAGTTCGAAAACTTAAATTCGTGCTAAACACAGGTTATCTACACTACGTGATTCTGCTAGGAATCCCGTATCAGTTATCACACACTATCATGCAGCGTAGAAAGGCAGGCCAGGTATTTTCTGTCTCCGAATCCAAAGAGTTGAACGGAATAATATTCTAACAACTCCAGTATAATAAAGATGATTCTGTATTAACAATTCATTGTTCCGAGGGAGATTAAATTTGCTGCACAGCGATTAAGAAAGTATGTAACGGGAAACTATTTTTTGGTATTTCAAACTGTCATAGGGGCCGGATACATGATTGGTCTCGGCCTTATATGTACATATCTAGTCCCTGTGCAATAACGTTGTCTTTCAATACACTTTGCAATTATAATGAGTTGTACGATCAGACTCAAGATAACACAACTACGATGGCCTATATCAACCATAGCTTCACAACTTCTTGTGCTAATAGTACGTTGATGACATGGGCAAATATATAGTGACTTCAATTTTGAAGAGAAAATATGAACGAGGGGTTTTGTTTGTCTGCACCGAATGACATCTGACCTTTGTCTCGGTACATCGCGACATTTCACCTTAATTTAGACCGGCAAGGGTCAAATATCACTCCACCGCGAGTAGTCCCGGCAACGCAAACTACCTTTGACAGGTTTTCGAATGATAAAGAAAAATACAAAAATCTTGTCACAGTAACACGGCATGTGTGTTTTAGCACAAAAGTGCTTCCACACGAAACAAATTAAAATTTGTCCCCGCGAGCAGTTTTCCAGTATGGCCCAGGAGAGCTAACTGGGAAGCCCTTTGTGGGGCCACTCCGGGACTGTATCAGGTCCTCAATGGCCCTATTGAGGAAATCAAGGGGTCCCTTTTTAACTTTTCAGTCAGAAGAAAATCGTTTATCAAAATTAATAAAGTTCTGCCGGCCTCGATTTGTTGTGTACTTGGCAGCTATCAGAAAAAGAGTGGATGTTTCAAAATATGCGCCTCCGTGAAATGATGTTGAGGTCACTTGTGACACGGTTGATTGACCTCTGACCTCCTACCCCCGGACCACACACGGTACAGAGGACAAGCCCACCAGGCAAGGCCCCTCCCGTCCGACCCCCTATCACGTGAGCGATGAGCTCTCCATGCCCCTTTCATCGCGTAACAACGCCGTTTCATTCCTGGTGAGCGAAGTAGCTAATGGACCATTTATATAGAATTAAAATTATATCATAATCGCCATGTGTGATATCTATCAAGGTTAGTAAAGACATGGAAATATCAAACATTTCAAATGTTTCAGAGTATAGCTGGAAAAGATATATAGTCTACCTACGGTGACCAATTTCATTTGTGCCTTTTCGTTGTTACGTCTTTTCGTCCCAAATAGATGAGATTACCTCCCCGAAAAAATAATGAAAGATCGCTGATTAACTTCCCCATTTTTTTCTTTTATCTTCTATTTGAAAGAAATATAAGCCAATTATATAATGCCGTTTTTTCGAGACGAAACAACGAGAATTGAAGGTAACGAAATTTTGTCTTCTCGGGACAATAAGATGAAACAATGAAATTACACAAATGTACTTCCGAATGCAAACAGGCTCCGAATAGCTAGACTACCGGAAGTGTCATACTTAGAACTGAGGTTGTGTCATTATTCAATTGTCTACATGTAAAATTCAATCCAATTAATTACTATCCTTTAAAATAGTGTCGATACATCTTAGAGCAAAATATATGCAGAGACCTCCCGGTATCTGGTAGCGAGAAAATCGGCCGGTGTAACGTCAGGAGACACCGTTCAGAAGTTAGATGTCAAACAAAAATCTGGTCGGCGAATAATATTGAGTTGTAAATTCTTTCCTTAATTAGAGAAAAGAAAAACCCCGATACGAAAAATAGACAATTACCTTTTTATAAAATATTGGTGTATTCAAATGTATCTCTGTATTGCAATGTATGAATGTGTGTAACGATTTAAAAACAAATGAATATAATTCCCACGAGAAATTCTTCATATGAATATATAATTTTACTATAAAGAATAATTGTTAAACATTCGGGGTACTGGCTAGCTTCTGTCAGTGTTTTTGTCTGTGTTAAATTTCCATTATTAGTACAAACGGCGGCGAGCACCTGCTCCGCGGGGCGAGGCGAACTTGTTTAATCAATTCTCATCGTAATTAATTACGTTCTCTTTGCTCATCTGTTGTATTTAGTCTGTTAGCTAATCTGTAATATGCAATTTGGGAGTGTCCAATGAAGCAGGCGGCTTTTAGACAAGTCAAGCTTGCGCAACTTAATGAAGCGTTGAAATGAAACTGATCAAGCGTTTCCAATCGACGTTTGCAATGACAAGGCGAGACAACGCTGGTCAAGGGAAACAACATATGACAAGTGTATGACTGTGTGTGTGATAAGTATATGACTGTGTGTGTGATAAGTGTATGGCTACGTGTATGACTATATATGACAAGTGTATGACCTTGATATTATACACCATTATAATACGTCATCAGTTCGTCTCTTAAAAGATAATCTCTAAACAGAAATTCTATAACAAATAACCTCTAAACAGAAAGCAGTTACTAAACAGATACAAAGTCTCAAACCGAATAGCTTATAAACATATACTCTCTAAACAGAGGATAGCGACCAAATGACAAATGATTAGACAATCTATCATCAAATATGGTCTATATAACGAAAATAATAGAAAGTTGATTAAACGTTCATAGTCTTAACATCGTTTACCGAAACTCAATCGACCAATTTCCTCTTACTCTTATGCCTCAATCTCAAAAACATGAAGTCTATCGCAGTCAAGTTTATCAAAGGCTCAGACAGAAGAATTGTGGTTTTGTGATATGGTGGATGTGGGTGCTTTTTGCAACAGTTTCTGAATTGAGCGTTGTAGATTCAAACCCTGTAAACAGTCTTCTAATATCTACTTTTTATTTTTATTTTATTTTTGAATATCACTGCATCATACGTTTAACTTTACAGAAATATCCTTAGCTTCATATTTCGTTTTTAAATACATCATCATAGGTTGGTATACTGTATATTGGTTTAACTTCGTGGGGCTAATATTTTGCGGTTGTTCCTATCTGAACTATTTCGCGGTGTATTTGAGTGATGGGGTTCATTTCATAATATAAACTTATTTTAGTTTAAACAAATATGAAACAAGTTATTTAAACTTATATTTATCACTTTTGTTGGCCCGGATGTTCGCGCGCGGAGGGTCTTATTGTGGGAGGAAACCGGAGTACCCGCAGAAAACCCAACGCACATGATCGGGCAAGTGACCCTATACCTTTTAACGTCCGATCGAGAAATCGAACCCCGGCCGCCTTGGTGAAAAGCACGTGAGTTATCTACTGCACCACCCGACTACTCAACACGGATATTCATTTTACACGTGTTTTATCAAAATAACGATATAGAATTGTTCTTTTATCTCTAGGTTTGGCGGTAACCATGTCTTTACTACTTTCTCGTTATATATTCATCGTGTTAATATTCGATGTGTTTATAATTTCGCGCTATCTTTTCTGGCAGCGAAATATAGCGAGATCAAATCACCGCGAAAATTACCAACTGTACAGTATTGAAGTCAACTCGATGCTACACTCATCAAGATTCCTTGATGTTTATCCGTATTATGTGGAGTTAACAATCCGTTAAGTGATTTCAGATACCGATGCTGAAAGTAAACATCTATATTTATATTCGTGTCGGTAAAATTACAGAATGTTTGTGTACAAGCGAATTCCAAAAACAATCACAGAATCAGAGATAAATAAACACATCATTCAGATAGAATCAACAAATAGGCCCAAGTGTATGTTTACAAATGAACTTAAGTTTAAACATTCTAACTGTCGGTAATGCTTGCGTCATAATCTACGTCAAATATTCACGTAATAGTTTCTTACTTGGGGTGTATAGACGCAAGTTCATGATCAAGTAGCCTTCTCCATGGTGTAAAAGACATCATGAATTCTAATGACTTCAAGTTCAATAGCCAATCCGTTGAAGTTATCAGATAGTTTATATATGTTTAACAAATCTTTCAATCATTATTTTGATATTTTCTCACACAATATTATATGTTTCGTTCACCGAGCTTGATTTAATGGTACTCTAAATACTTAATTAATATCCACGCATGTCTCATCTTAATCAATCAAACAGTTTATCATAAATCTGACAGGTTACGGCCTACCTGTTCGAAAATTGACCGTTTTGTCGCATTTCGTTACGCAGGTTGTGCGACACCAGAATCCCGGCACACGTCATCCGTGTAACCCATCATCTAGACGGGTGTACTTGGGCGGAGAATGACCGCCGCTCACCGATCGTGACAGATCGAAATGTCACACCCACACGTACAGATGGTGTCCGATGGAAGGTGTCGAGCGGACGGATATTTCTATATTATTATAATATATCTGGCAAAGAATGGTTAGCTTAAGCATTTGAATAACTGACGGGATTCTCATTTTTCACGCACTTGGTTGTGGATAAAAAAAGCCAATGAAAATATTACGATGTTATTTTTATTCCCTTATTTATCAAATCAATTTGACAGTTTGTTTTAATATATTAAAACCAATGGAGCAACTATAAAAGAAAAAGAAAAAAACTGAGAGCATGACAACCCTTCGAATGGTGTCTTCCACGTCGCCATTTTACGACACGTTCTACAGCGGGAGTGGAAGGGGGTAACCATAGGCATCAGTTACAACAATTCTCGTTTTTAAGAATATCTTATTTTGTCAAATGTGATAATTAGATGAAATTTGAATAAATATTGGATGACTTGTTAATTTCACACACACGTTTGCACTGTGTTGAACTTTATATGAAGGTTCAAATATATTTAGGGTAATTTATAACAAAATAGTCGTCTTTCTTTATCTTTAGCTAATTATGTGCTAAAGCTGTAATGTCTTATCATGACAAAATGAATGGGGATACAAAATAAAATGTTTTTTTGTTATAAAGTCAAAATAATGTTAAGATATATTTACAGAAGAATTTCTGTATTTTTTTAAACACGAATGAGTACTCTGATTCATCGGCGTATTCTTTTACAATCCCGATGGAACAACTATCTAATTGAATGCCAATCCTGTTCTTTTTATCATAGTTTGATGACCTTGCAGTACTAAGCGAACCAGCGAGAGAAACGTTATATTGATCCTGACAAAATTCAGCATTTCCTTCATGAATTTCCATGAATTACTGAGAATAGTTGGACAGTCGGCTTACATTATAAAGAATATGTGTTCTCACGAAATATAAGCAGGCTAGTTTACGATTCATAACTATCTGTCAAAAATTCGAGGGATCCGCCATTTTTCGATAAAACGGAAAAAAAACCGCTGTCCTCAAGGCGAGAACTATGGTAGTCAGTACAAAACAGCATACTAATAACCACAAGAATATCACACAACGTACAGAAATAGCTTATTTCCAAATCAGATCATGATAGCGAACATGAAACTTGCAACTTGCCCATAGCTTTGATCTACATATATCTCTGGAAGTTTGTCGGTCAGCAGTCGGCATCTATCAAAGAAATCATTATATTTAGGGCAAACTCTCTTAAATACCGAATCAAGTGCGATAAGTGAATACAGTAGATCTAGAAATCTTAGATACTACCATAAAGAAAGGGAAAGTTCGCGGTAGGAAAATCGCGCTTATCTTCGGACTAATCTGAAGGAGGCGGCTGATGTAAAAAGAAGCATAAAGTATCCTTTATTCAAAGATGAGGAGGGTATGAAGGTAGACGTGGTCAATAGTTCATGTTGTTAAGGGCAGTACGTCGAGGTATAGATACCTTGAAAACGTCAGTCTAACTGTTGTTAAAATGCTTATATGAGTAAAATGAGGATTTAAAATGAGCAAGGTTTGCTTGGATTTGTGATAGTAACATTATCTCTCCTCTTTTAACTGTTTCCGCGTCAAAAAACAGTTTCCATGATTGCATGGAACCCATGTCCTTTTCGAATTCGATCTACGCATAAGGTCAAGATGGTTCAATTGGGTTTTAAACACTTAATGCCAAATAATAACACGGGACAATAAAACACTACAAAGACGGGCAGATGGAATAACCTCGTTTTGGTAGATGTGAAACAAGACACTGCCGCTAGGTCGCGCTACTGGTCCATAGGTCGGGTGCGTTCGAGGCGTGTGGTCCTTTTAGTAGCGGTCTCAAGCGGGGTGTGCAACTATTCATTCATATAAAGTCAAAAACTATAATCGCACTTAGCAAAATTTGGCAAACGCTCGGGCAACCCAATCTGGAAAAGTGCCTTCCTTGAAAGTCCTTATCTCTAATTAGTTTTGATTTTTGTACGTTCAGAAACTTAAAAAGAATAGTTCAAGAACAATACATTCTTATCTCTTAGCAAGGAATCGATTTGTTATCACGCGCATGCACGTGCGTCTTCTGTCTACCCGGGGGAGATTGGCAAACAGTTATCGCTCTTTAAAACGTTACGCACGTGTCTTCACGAGGAAGACGCGTTAAGCCGACATATGCCGCGGTATTTTGTCAAGGGACCGATCTCATATACATCAAATCGCATCAAAATCTTCACATGTACGTGGATCACAGTGAATTAACAAGAACACGTGAGTACTAGGCAGCCTTATGGGCGGGTAAAATTGACAAAAAAATGATTAAGATAAAAAGATTCACCGGGAAAGAGATGCGCTTTTGACAATGCCAACGTTCACGCTTCAATTAAGATTTAGATATGGGGAATATTTAGGCGTGACACTCACGACATCTAGGTATTGTAAATTAATCAGTCTTATCAAAAATGTTGATTCTGAATCAATTTAATATCAACCTTAATTATATCCATATTTTTTTATAAGATAATAAGTTTAGATGAGATGGTGGAAAATACGTACAAGTCACTGAAATATTTTTGTTTTGAAAGTTTCATTAAGACACGTGTCCGATGCGGAATGGCAGGTGACACTTCTGTGACGACCCCTCCTCAGAGGAGGACACTTTAAGTTCTCAACAACAGGTGATTACAACTATAATAAAAAAAAAATCAGTGTGAAATTATTCACTTTTTTATTTTAAAAAACCGACAAAATCCAGGATGGAAAAGTTAGATATAATTTAAGAAATGAAAAAAAAAAAGATTTAAGGGAAAAAAATCATATATAAAAATATCGCATCGTGTTTACATATCCAACAAGCGTGCCAATATGTGAAAACAACCCAATATGTGAAAACAGGAAAAACTGCATTGAATTCATTAATTACTGTGTTTAAATTACTTATTATTCAAACTAACTCTAATGTGAACCATCCAAACTAATTAAATCAACGAATAAGCAAAAAAAAAAAATCTCACTTTTCACGAATTAGGTTGCACATGATATAGGACAAATCATATCAACCCAATATATGAAAACATGATTAAATATTTTAAATTCCTAAGTTACTATCTGTTAACTACTTATTATTCGAAGTAACTCGTATGTAAACAATTCCCACTAAGTAGATACGCTAATTAGCCAAAACAAATATTAAGATCTTTTTTCCACTTTTCACGAATTGGGTTGCACCTGCTAGGACAAATCTTATCAACCCAATATGTGAAAACATGAAAAAAACACCAAGTAATTAACAGATAGTATCTTTGGAATTTAGAGAAAAAAAATCATGTTTTATATTGGGTTGATATGATTTGCCTAGGTGCAACCCGATTCGTGAAAAGTATTTTTTTTTTTTTTGCTTATTCGTTGATTTAATTAGTTTGGATGGTTCACATTAGAGTTAGTTTGAATAATAAGTAATTTAAACACAGTAATTAATGAATTCAATACAGTTTTTCCTGTTTTCACATATTGGGTTGTTTTCACATATTGGCACGCTGCAAACGTATCACATTTGTCATTTTAAACATGAACTAACAATTTATTTAGAATTTTGAAGTAACGTTTATAAGTAGTCCACTCATCGTAAGTGAGTTATTGTATGTCCTTGAAGATAGAGGTGTAACCAGCCCTTATCCCAATAGCCCCCGTGCCCGTATAATGACAGACATACCTGTGGCCAGGTGTTACTTTACCACCTGTAATCAACAGAAGTAGGCGTTCTTTTTGTGACGAGGACTCTCCAGTTGTGGTGAGAGGTCTTATCACGACCCCATCGAGCATTCACAAACTTTTTACAATTGTATCATGTATTTTACAGATCAGCTCAAACCACTGATGTCAGTCATGTTATTCGTTAGAGATGTTGAACGTTATGTGCAGTAACGCAATTAGTTTGTGCAAGTTTTTTATTGGTTATTTTTTTAGAAATGCCGGACGAGCGACGGCTTTGATAATAATCCGTCGAAATGCTGTCGCTCTAATTAATTAAAACAAATACGGATTCGACCTTAATCCTGCTCTAAACTGACGTAATTATTCCTCTTTTCACATTTTATTTGTAAATATAGGATTTTAAATGATAAGTTTTCATTTCATGAGATTTTATGAAACATGTCTTAGGATTTTTGCTAGCCTTGGAGAGCAAAAATTAAAACTTTGATTTTTTTTAAAACTTTGAGACGAGTTTCATAAAAGCTCACATGAAATGAAAACAAATTTAATATACTTTTTATCACATTACTCAGAAAAAATACATTTCGACAGGTTTTAAAACCAAAATGTAGAGGGCTTAATCAATCGGAGACAGCCATTTTGTTGCACCATTCACAATTTATGACGTCACGTTATTGTCCATATTATGACGTCACAATCGATTTCTGACTGGCACAGCCAATGAAAAACGCTCCAGGGTATATTACACTAGTGACATATATAAAAAATATTACACGGGCGAATACACTGGATATCAGGCCGATTATGTGATACAAGTGTGTATCAGTCTTAAGCTTGTTCGTGCTAGTCTGATGTTCCTATTTTTTATAATAATATTTAAAGATAACTGATTGTGCATGCAGGAGAAGAGAATGAGCTAGAATTTCTTAAACGAATCAAAAACATTTTGATGATACGGTCCGTGTTACTTCCGGTCGAATGATGCATGTTGTGTTAAAGGAACGTCACCATGACACGTGACTTGCTGATGTATGTAACAGCCATTTTTACAGACCTTTATATTGATGTGTCTTTCCTGTGTGTCCGACTAAAGGTGCTCACACCACAACGTGAGTACATTCCTATTTTCGTCTAACATTGTTGCCGGCCCTACCCTGGTGTCGTGACGTCACAGTGATGGCGTCATTTGCACGAGCTTCCCGATACCTTGCTGCGGCAGAACTTCATAGAAAGAGCAACCGCTGCTTTCCGTTATAACACAGAAGCCTTAACGTTAGCTGGTCGGCAGATCGTTTTGAAGATTACTCGCTCTATATTTACCGCTAATGCTATTACTGGAGTAAAGCCTCTTAACGATAGAGACGCGTTTAATTAACAAAATCACGTTATTGAAGCGTCACAAAGACAGAGACCTCAATCAGCTACTTCTGTTTCTTGAAAAATGAAAAAAAAAGTTGATTAGATAGTATATACCATGTGCGTAATTCACTCCAATTTCTTTTTTAAAGTTAAGTGAGTTTTTTAGCGTTCTCGAATAGTGTACTGACACGATATAAAATGATTAGGCAGAACTTACGTAACGCTCCAGCGGTGGAGCGAATCGAACTCGCCCTAGGGAGAGTCCACCCCGCAATTACGGGTGACAAGGAGCCGTGAATCTTGGACCTAATTAGCAATACTGACGATAGTGTGTCCGGTGAAAAAGGTAACGATTAGCGGTGTTTAAACCATTACAGCGCATGTATCTATACATAAGTAGGACCATTCAGCGGCTCGGCAAGGGGTCAGTTTGTCTAATCACGTTGGTCAGTCCGGCTACTTTTGAAAGGTTTAGTGAGTACGTGTTTCCAAGTCTTAACAAGACCTATATCCAGCTGAGATCTGAGGAACCGATGGTCAGTGGAATTACTCCTCACCCCTAAGCAACAAACTTGTGGTCACTTGCATCCGTTTCTGAAAATATCTGAAATAGCGCCAAAATATTTCACCTACATTTTTTGTATGGTGGTGAAAGTTTTGAACTTAGGAATCATGGAATTCCTATGACGTAAAATTTAGGCTTTCACAAAAATACCTACACGACACATATGTTATATTTTTGGTAAACTATTATTTTTGTTTATTTTAGACAAGAATGTTTGCTTGGATTTGGATCGACTTGTCAAGAAAACATACCCAGCAAATGAAACAATAAATATTAAGCAAACGATGAATAAAATCATAACTCTAGTTTTTGTGTTGTCTCATTTTATATGAATATTTTCATAACGCAACAGTTATGAGTTAGTAAGACGTGTTGAAACAACAACACCACAAAGGAAAAGGTACAACGCCGCGCTGCACGATTTATAACATCAAACTATAGAAAGGACAGCGGTGTAACAGAAATGATGGACACTCTAAAATTAACACCACTAAAGGATCGCATGCGAGACCATCAGCTTGCCCTTTTTTATAAGATCGTGAAGGGCTAGTGGCCATACCTGTAGGTCACATATTGACTTCATCAAACACCCGTACCAGATAAAAAAAAATAGTGAAAATTACCGACATTTCCAGTGTAATACGGACATATTAAAAAAAATCATTTTTTCCTCGAACAACAACACAGTGGAATAACCTACCAGAAGACCTCGTCAAAATGCAAGAACTTAAAAGCTTCAAGACAGCACTACAAACTGAAACAATATAAACTAAAATCGCACTCCTCCAACCTTGGAATGTATACTCAAATTTGAGGTCTTCCATTAATATACAGATACAGAAGGATGTACATGTAGCCTACTCGACAAAAGTTATGGGTTTTTTTTAATCAATATTTATTCCATATTCCTCTAAAGCAAAACTATAAATGTATGCTTTATACTAATTTTACACTCAGTAAATCATACATGTATATATTTATCACATAACTTACCCATTTTATTATGTCATACGACCATGTCATAAATATGGTATTACACACATGTAATAAAACCTTAAGGTGGCTCCACACATCGTCATCAGCGTCAAAACTGTGGAAACATTTTCCTACGCCACTACACAATTTTGAACTTTTTTCTAATAAAGTTTAAAGTTTTTGCTTTTAAATTATTTTGAAATGTCTATTTTGTCATTTCTATTTTCATTGCATTTAAAATTGTTCTTTATAAAATATATAATCTAGAACTATTTTGCACTGCGCGGCGAGACAATACTGTGATCGGAGTACTTTGTTTTTGACCTTTTAAAGAGTCAGCTGATATCACATACATTTGTAATTGTGTTTGAAGTTATTTTTCAAATTATAAATGTTATGTGATAAAAAGAATCTTATATTCGTGTCCATGTCATTTCGAATTATTAAACTTGTTCAATAAATTGCCTTGGCACTCGCCTAAAGGGTCGACCCATATGAAATTATCAACTCGTTTAATATATTCAATATGGTATGGGCACTCATGCAGGAACCTTTATATATTCATAATTTTCTTTTCAAAAATGGTTTATTGAGATACAGTCCTGTCGGAAACCTTAATTTCTAACTGATAGTTACAGTTTTTGGCAGTGGTACGGGGATCCTAAGGAAACTGGTCTTTTCGGCCTAGCGACTGCCAGGACATTCTAAAATAGAGAAGGATCCATTTTGCAAATGTTCATGTAGACCATGGTAAAATAACTTGTTTAAAATAATATAACGTTTTTCTCTATGTAGCGGTCCGTTACATACAAATCTACCACAAATACACAATCGTTTAACTTTGCTTTTGAAATTCAGTTTTAGGTTTGATGCACGGGTATATTTTCAATGTGAAGACGATTCACCGTGTAGATGTTCGTTCGTTCCATTTTAAATTTAATTAATTTATGGTACCAAGCACGTGCGTGTGATACAAAACACACTGGGTAAATTAAACAAAAGTACACAGGTGTTCTACCATCTACTTGGCTTCGCAATAAGAGGTGACAGCGTCATAAATATATCCCTCCACAATTTCAGTTTTTCACTCGAACACGCACCCGAACTTTCCCCCGTCATTTTATCAGGTATATATATTCTCGGCAATTGGGTGCTGTTTTATTTAAAGTCAGAAGAGATACATCTGTCCACAACGAGTCATAGACCTATGCAATAGGTTTTGGGTCGTATACGATGTGTCCAACATAAGCTAATGACGATTAAGAGACAGAGAAAGGTAAGTCCCGTAAGGAATAACGTGATATATAACCTGTGACGTGATATGTAACCTCGGTTACTTATAAGTTCTAAACCTGAGCGATATTGCCCCCGGTTAGAGATATAACCTGTGGAATATTGCTCTCGGCTACTTATAAGTTTTCAATTAATGTAGTTCTAAACCTGAGAGATATTTCCCCCAGTAATGAGTTAGTTATAATCCAGAGATATTGTCCCTTATTAAAGCTGTAACCTGAGAGATATTGTCCTAACTACTTCTAATCCTGAGAGATATTACCGTAGTTAGTTCTGAACCTGAGAGATATTGTCTCCGTTGTTCTAAATCTGAGTTATATTTTCCCTGGTAAGTTATAATACTGGGAGATATTGCTCTGTTTAGTTCTAAAACTGAAATATATTTGCCTGCCCGGTAGGACAGCGTAGTGAATATCGCTGACATAACAATCTACGTAATTATTCACCCATGTACCACCATATGGTATAAGTATACATATGATCGACAGGCGTTATTGGAGTGAATTCCCGCGAGTATTTGTGCCGTGTATGCAGTAGTATCAAATGCCCTTGACCTAATATCCCACGTAACAGGTAAGGACTTCAAGGAGAAGCTGGCTCTACTAACACTTGTTATTCGTAAATTTACATCAATTCACTTCAATGGCGGATTATTCCACCTCCTCATTGTGTGCGATCGAGGGAGCTGAATAGCAGCAGTGATGATACCCACAGTTGACAGCGCCAACCTGTTGTGGTAGCTCGCCGTCCGTCTATTGTGTTACCTGGCTGCTCGCTGATCGACAGAGACCGTACTCATAATTGGTGACATAGACCTAAAGTGTTGGCCATATACTGCTTGCGAAGGCTCGCTGACCGTCTGTTGACGCCTTTGGGCCCGTGTAGACCTCTCCAACCCGTCATTTCGAAGGGGGTACAAGTTAATTATGGACGTAGTTTTGTATGGACTGACCACGTGTTGATACAGAGGACAATGGTTAAAAAGAAACTGAACAATGGACGGAGCGAAAGTGGACAATTGGAACAGGGGAAATACCGCTGTTTATTTCATCGCCAAGGCACTTGTTTCTACTGCCTGGTCAAGCAAGCTTTTTGTTTTTATATTTTAAACAAATTTCAGAATTAAATGGACGAAATGTTGACCAACAAACGTTGCACGTTACAAGCTCCAACAATACATTGGTAATGGGCACCCGCGGGCGTTTTGTTTATTAAACTCGGTTTATTTGTGAATTATTTCAAACCCGTCCTATAGAAAGTCGATGTGTTGTTGAAAGCACTCTTGACGCCCAGTCCCTCCCATTTCTATACAACGGAAGTTATACAATATCGTTTGAAAGGGTTCTTCATTCATAAGAAAGGCATGACCTTGCTATTTTTGGTCGAACATATTGATATCAATGAATACTTGTACTCCATGAATGGAACCAGATTTCATATTTATATTTTATAAATCAGTAACGTAGATTTCAGAACAATTGGGCTTGTCTTCTCTTCACTTAAACGACTTTTAAAATTAATCTTATTTCGCAAATACTTTATTACACGTAATAAACAAGAAAACGATATCTGTTTTCACACGGAAGACCGACCCGAAAGGAATTAACGTCTAATTTTGACGTTATGAAACCTTGATGACTGAATCTATAAAATCAAAAGTCAAAGTCGCGTCTTCCCGTGTCTGCCAGAATCTCTCGCCATCGACTGCAAACTCGTGCTCATTACAGTTGCACTAAATACCTTCACAAGTTTCAGACATTTGTAGTTTCGTTTCGTATTTTTGCCGGAATAAGTGCTATAACTGATTGTTTTGCATCCGTATGCAAACTGTAGATTGTTATAACAAGTTTTATGTAATGGAATGTACGCGGAACTGAGCATCATAAGAATATATCCTCCAAAAACGAGACCTTCGCATAAATCTCTCTAACTAAGGCCGTATCCTCGGTTCTGCACCCCTTACTTCTAAGTAGGTCATTGCTGCTTGATCTTCGATTATACCGAAACAATGTTCCGAATTGGATAAAGGGGGCGGTATTCCTGATTGCTTCCAAGAAAGTTACAAAAGTTTTTAGTTTGAAAAAGGGGATGTTTTTAGTTGCCTATTGTTTTAATACTCGGTATTTCTTTTTTATTCATCTCCAATTAGACAGAGAAGCAACGTTTAACACCGAACCGAACATAATTGCAGTCCAGCAAATCTTCCCTCACTCTTATCATCAGAAAGTATATAAAAAAGTGTTTGCTTTGGGTTTTTTTCATTACTTTTCTACTTTTCATGAAATATGATGAAAGAAACAGAATTTTATTTGTTTCTCCAATTCTTATTTTTCCCCCCTAATGGATCTGTCATTTAACTTCATCATAGTAACCGACATAATTGAAGGCAATCTGTCACAATTGAAACCGATACCTCGTGTTGACCATCACGATCTCAATATAAACTGACCGACCTATATTTACAGTACAAGTACGTACCACGGTACTGTTGCAGGGATGCCCCTCAATGCCCTACCTGTTTTTTCTCGTGGTCAATTCGGCGTAGGCAGTAATTAGGCAGAGCAAGGACATATATACGTCCTTGGTCAAAAGCGTGTTGCTTTTGGGGTCCGTGCCGTACACTTTAGCCACAGTGACCAGTGTCTCACTCTGTAATTGTCCGACAGGGGGTCCAGAGTTGATGGTCATCTTGCACAAAAGGCCCGTCGTATTATCCAATCATTATGATGGGATGGAGTGTTCCGAAGGGACTGTCCCGATCCTTGTCTCCATTCTTCACGAGTACCCCCACGGCTTGACTACCTACCCTAGTACCTGACGTAACCCCACCCCCGGGACACACCCCTTACCTAGGTAATATATTGACCGTGGTCCTAATTATTTCAAAATCGCTGCATCACACCCTTTGTTGTTTGACCTCCGACTCAAAGATGTAGTTAGAGGTACTTCACTGGATAATATGTAGCCCAGTAGGATGTCCAGCACTGACCAGTAGTGATCATCTCATGGTCAGTTT